ACAGTAAAATTGTTCGACTTTTACATTTAAAAATATCATTTACGTTAAAATTTAAAAAATAAAAATTAACTAAAAAAACTAACTAAAATTTCATATTTCTAGAAGACTTATGACGAAGAGACCATCAATTTCTATCGCACCAAAAATGTTATATGATGTGTATTATTTGTATGTATTCCTCACTAAGTGAGACAATTAATCCTTGATTTAAAATGCCAAGCTAACGCGACCCAGAAAAAGTTAAACTATAACAAATACAGTAAAATTGTTCGACTTTTACATTTAAAAATATCATTTACGTTAAAATTTAAAAAATAAAAATTAACTAAAAAAACTAACTAAAATTTCATATTGTGTAAATGAAACTATTTTACTTTACTTATTTTATATAGTGAAAAATGAAAAACCAAAAAAAATGTTTTGTTAGAAAATTTTTAAAAGAACGAAATTCAATCAAATGATGCATAAACATTTAAAAGAGCATCGCGTTAAATTCCGTTTGCGTTGCGTTAGCGTTGTGTATTGTCAACAAAGCATTAATTGTATATAGTTGAAATTATCATTATACTCTCATTTTTAGCACTTTTTCATAAAAAATTAAAAAAAAATGCTTATAAGTTTCACTGTGTTCGTGCGTCCGTTCGTCCGTCTGTGGACATGTTTAGAAAACTTCTACACCATTGAAGATAGAAAGCTGAACTGTATACTGTACTAAAGCTGAACTCCATAGAAGAAAATTTTTACCTATTTTCTCCCTCTAAAAATTATAGCCCCCCAAAACCCTAGAAATGGCATTTTTCAACTATTTATTGCAGCGAAACCATATGCATTTTTCTTTTTCAATTCTACAAACGTAGAAAAATAGTGGTTGGCTTCTTGTATCGCAGCATACCATACTTAAACTTTAAAAAAAGCAAAATGGCCTTTAAAACTTACCATTATCTAAAATCCATTTTTTCTAAATTTTTGATATCGTTTTTCTTCTAGATCTCAGGTTGTAGAAGTCGCTAATAAAAAGTTCATTTCGCTTGAAGCTTTTGGAAACAAATAAAAAAATCATTCGTTTGAAGAAAATTTTTCCATCTCCATCCCCTCTCAAAAATCCCTAAATACGAGCATTATGTTAACGCCTTCCTTAATTTTTTTTTCGTTTTACTTCAAATATTTCATTCGTTCCCAAAGGTATGCAATCTTTTAAATCTATTCGTATACTAATGAAAGTAATAATGTATTACATAGTTACATTGTTTTTAAAAGCAGTATTTTCCCTTCTTGAACGGAAAAGTGCTACATTACAAACCATTGGTTTCACCAAACTTTATTAAAATAATATGATACATATTGGCATAATATGATATACGTCAACCATTGCTTTCCAGTATTTTAAATTTTTATAAAATAAATTTGCGAAAATTGTTAGCTGTACATTAAAGTTGAGTAATCATTATTTCACTTTAATTAATCGAAACAGGTAATCAAATTATGTTCCTTTCTTCTCTGCGTACTGAACATACATTCTCAAAATATGCTACTTTTGAGTATTGCCTGATATTGATTTTTCCCAGACGAAAAATAAATTATCCTCTTATAGTATACAAACAATTTTATGTTTACAGATATGTATTAATTTTCGTAAAATTTTCTGTTTCTATTCCTATTGTTCAACTGAGAGAACATAAGGAAAATTTTAATATGTACAAACTACTCACTTATAAAATAGTAAAAATGACACATTTTCAAAATTTTCTCTTGTAACTGTTTCGTTTAACCAGTCTGTCCAAATCGTTCACAACTTAAAAACTATATCGGAATAAAAAGAAATAAAGGAACATAAAATAATTTTTTTTACAAAAAGAAAAAAAGGAATTTAATTTTTTTATTTAAAAAAAAGTAATTTTGTTGAATTATTTAATTATTTTGAAAAATCTTTTATACCACAGAAATTCTATAGAAATAATCGTAAAATGTGATTAGAAAATTTATAAAAAGAAAATTATCGAAAAATCAATTCAAAATTGTAGGAAGTGGTTATATCAGTTTCGGATTTTTAAATAAAGCTTTGATTAAAAATAACAGAAAGTATTAAATTTGGAAAATAAGAGAAAGTAATTGTGCCGTTTCGAAGAAAAAAATTAAAATGTCGGTTTTCTCCAGTTTTACTTATACGAATTTCTAATTGTACAGAAAATCAACAGGAGTTTTGCTATTTAAGCCATATAGAAATAAATGGCATTAAGTATATATATTCATATATGCCCATTTTTGTATAACAGACAATTTTGTACATATACATATGTATATACGATTATGACAAATTTTTAAATACATATTAATAATTTACGGAAGTGGTTTTTTTTAAATAATAAAAGCAGACATAAAAAATTTAAAATTATATTTTTTCTGCTTTTAATTGTGGTTTTTGTTATTTATTTGTACATATAACTTATACATATAAACTATAAAATACTAAAATATCTTTCATTCAACATAATATTATATTTGTGTATGTTTCAACATCCTTGCAATACTAATAAAAACTATATAAGAATCCAGCCATTCAGATATAATTTACCGACACCTTCTATATATTTTTTTTGTATTGGTACTAAATGTTCTCACTTAATTTTTCTAACAAAAGTATGATGACATATAGTTGAAAAATTGAAAACTTTTTTTTAGTAAAATAATTATTTGCAAATATAACTTTTAACATTAAAGTGAAGTGAAAAGAAAATAGGTGTATCAAAACTCAGTTTTTGGCACATACTAAGATAATTATAAGACAATTATAAGCGTATTTTCTCCATTTTTTGAAAATTGCATATTTAAAAGAAAATTGTACCGAGACTTAGTACTATTCCTCTTAAATCGCTTCTACTAACTTCCCTGCAATTGTTAAAGGCGAAAATTTTATAAAGATGAAATGTAAAGGTTCACTTCATCTCTCCACAGTCACACTCCTTAGTAGAGTTTTCCAAAAAGTCCTTTATCCGATACAAGTACGATGAGATACCAACGTTTTCGAGGTAGGAAGAGAAAAAAAAACGAAATTGCAACGATTGCAAAGACTTTTCCAACGAGCAACCTTCCAGTTTGTTATGTCATTTGAGATCTGAGTTATTCAAATTTTAAACATTTTACGAAAATAAAACATCAATTATGATTCAATTGAAATTAAAACAATCATATTTAACAATGTCAAAAATTATATTTGCTTATATTGTTGTATTGTTGTTGTAAAGAAGTATTGCGTCTTTATTCTAATGATTCTAATGTAGTTTTAAAATATCATTATGAAGCAAAAAATCATTTATTTCTGTACCTCCATTTAATATTTACTTTGCTGTATAGAATATTAAAAGAAATGTGTAGAATATGAAATTTATTTTAAAATGTCTTAAATTTTTTAATATTTTTTATTTTTATATCTAACATGTTTATCCGCAAAAGGAGGAAAAAACATACTTAAAACCAGAATTGAGCCTAATAAAAACGTCTTTCGAATTCAAATTCTACAAAAAAAATAGTTTTAAACGCAAAGAGCGCCGATTTTAGCACTTTTCCAAAAAAAAATTTGTCTGTCCGTCCGTGGACATCTGTACACCTAAGCTTTTCCAAGTTTCTATAAATGCAAAAAGCTAACGGTGAATGCCATGCCATTAAAAATATAATTATTTTTCTTAACTCACGCGATTAACCATTAAACTCGAGCACTATATCAACGCTCCTTTATTTTTTTTTTTTTTTATTTTTTTTCATGCCCGAATTTTAACAAAAATCTAGTTTGATTCCAAAATAGTGACATTAGAATAAATTTCTAGTGTAAAAACATAATCTGAACACTTCCGCAATGCTAAACCTTATAAGATAAATCATGTGTATAAATTTACATTTTTAATTACGCTATTTGAATAATATTTTTTGAATATTTTTAAGAAGAAGTTGTCAATGGAATTTATTAACAATGGAAATTCTTAACACTTTTTATTAAAAAACAAATTTTATCTCTTTCTTAAACCAACATAATACACTCAGTTTTCACGACCAAAACATATAGGACTTGTTATTGTGCAATTTTTTGTACATCAGTAAAATATTTTGATCCTCCATCTTATCCATCAAAATTTCGTTTATCTCTTAAACTACAACACTGTTAATTGATTAGAAGGGTACAATACTTTTCCACTTTGGAAGACAAATTTTGGAAATACATATGTATATATATACACATGCATGTGTTTACAAAAATACATGTATACATATGTCATTTTAATATAAGATAATTAAAACTTAATATAATAAAAAAACAAAAAAGCTCCAGATAACATAATCAACATGAAGATAAATTAATTAATTTTTTTTCTTCAAAAAAAGAAATTATTTAGCAAAATTTTTTTTTTTCGAAATTCTTCTCTTCAATATTGTAATAAACACTTTAGTAAAATGTCAATTAAAATGAACATGTTATCCCTAAAAAAATGCAATATTAACAGTTGTATATATATGCGCACTCCCATAAAAAACTTCAGTCTTATGAAATAAAACAAGAGCAACGTTCCATTTATAAAATATACTTGAAACCACTTAGGATTTTTTTACGGGAATCGAAAATTTAGTTCGGAATCGAATATTTATTTCTGCTATTATAATTAATGCACTGCATACGCACTTTATTAAAGCTGATTTTCTTCTAATTAAGACAACAAAAACTCAAATCTACTTATATTACAAAACACTATACTTGATTTAATCCAAATTTTTGACTGACTTATTTTAAGTTTTTTTGTTATTTCCCTATTATTTTTATATATTATATTTATTACAAACTAAAATAATTCCTGTTTTAAACCTTAAAATTGGTCAAGAAATTCACCAATTTAAGCATTCTGTTAGCCGCATTACTTCCACATTTAGGTAGTACCTTCTAGATTTATATATATCTCCATGCTCTCATAAACTTCTCTCCTATATCTCTATAACTTTTTATAACCTTTACGTTCTCGTCTGTAATTTTGTATATGTTTCGGAAATGTGATTCGCAACTATTGAAACGAAATTTTTTTCAGTTCCTAGTTTCCTTTCACTTTATCTCACTTATATGTTCCTTTAGCCTTGTTGCCTGCAATCTTGCAACCTCTTTGTTTATCCTATACAAAATTTGTTTACAAAACTGGGTATGACCCAAATATATAAGCCACCGTCTCCTTCGCCACAAGGTGCTCCAGCAGAGATCGCTGGCGGACTGGTCTAACCTGTTCTTGTCAGAATGCGTCATCAGCAGGAAGAGCACATACATAAATAAACGTTTATTTATTTATATATTTGCCAACCTGCTATTGATTTTCTCAATTCAGAGGTATTCATAAATCTTTCTTTTCAATTTCGACTCCAAAAGTCGCCAAATGCCTCCCAAGCACATCTGCCCTGCAGTTTTCAAACATTCCGATCTATCCTGGAACCTAAATCAGTTCCATTTCGAACCAATTTCAATTTCATTGGAAATTCATTTATTATCTCTGATCGTTCTAGAATTAGTCACCTCTGCTTAATTCCATATTCTTTATCACTACCTGGCTGTCCCTAAAAATATTCAAGCTCCCATAGAGTATCAGCAAACTAGCGCAAGATCTCGCTTATTGCAACCAATCCGCCGGAAAGATGTTGCAGTGGCCCGGAGGACGACAAGAAATCATTTGTGGAAGATTACTCTCTTAGTTCTATCGATCAGCTTTGATCCATCTGTCTAAAAGTGAAATATTTTCACAATATTTCTGCACAATCAATACTAAAAACTTGTCCCCAAGAAAATAAGAAACTCGCTTTATCAGAGGATACATTATTAACCCGCAGCTCAGTTGAAAACGAGATTAAGAACTTGGGCCAACCCAGATTTAGAGAGAACTTATAAACGAATATTCAAAATAACAAGATATACATTATAACGTCATGTTTTTTGTTTAAAAAAACTAAGTCAAATAATTTGAACCTGTCTTCGTAAAGAGGATGTTTACTGAGTCCTAAGGTACTGACTTGATTCTTTAGAAATTCGACTCTTTCAATTGCAAAAATTAATTCATAATTTATTATAACCATAGATTAGACTAATCTATAAAGATAAAGGTATAATTATGAAAGCTCTGAACAAGGGCTTTTCCTTAATTTTATTTCATTTTAAGTGTTTGTTAAGCTGAGCTTTAATTTTATGTATCAAATATTCCTACTTATTATGGGGTTCGGGAACTATGCAAATATTCTAACTAGGACAAAAAACTACGTTTCTTTAGTAGTTTCTTTAATAATAGTTATAATCTTATATACGTATTCTTATTATATGCAGTGACAAAGTTTTGTAAAGGCGGCGCAGGAAAAAATTTAAAATACAGCTATTAATTAGTAAACGTGTAAGATGAAAGCTATTTAATAACAAATTTAATTAAGAGTTTATTACACATTATAATTATTTGTATATATACATATACATACATAATACTTTTGGGTTGTATGTGGATCTACATTTCTACTGTAAAATAATTATTCTGATAATACATAGCTTAACTAGATTGGTATACTTATACGAGTACATTTGAATAAAAAAAAACTTTCAATTTTTATATATATTTAGTTCAAGTTGGTTAATTATCAAAAAATTTGAAAGTAATAAAAGAAGCAAATAACAAAATATTAAAATTTTAATATTGCATATTATTAATGACGTGCTCGTTAGTGATATGTTTTATTCCTCCGATGCTGGTAATTTAACCGGTGGGGTTGGTGTTGGGGAGCCAAAAAATAACAATAGTAATATCAAAATAAATCCATTACGCATACCTAAATCACCATCGTTCCATAGTGGTTTAGATTTGGCGGCAACAGTTGATAAGAATTTCTCATATATTAATCAGTCACGTTCAACAGGTAGTTTTACAAATATGCCCTCTTTAGATCAACAACATCAACAACAACAACAACAACAATCATATCAACAACAAGAATACACATCAAGTAATTTACTAAAGGTTAGCATAATAGTAAATATGAATTAAATGAAAATGAATATAAAATTATATATTATAATAATAATATTTGATGCTTATAATATTAATATGTCATAAAACGATGGCAGATATATAACGAATGAATAAATGCTTTCTGCAAGCCTCTACGTTCAATTCTCTCTAACACGTAACGTTTACATGGTTTTCAATAATATTGCCAATGAACTGGTAAACAGAGTCTATCATTGAGCCTGGAAATAGCGTGCCTAGTTTGTTATCTTTTTGTTTAGCTATTTCTCTTTTACTTTCAGCAAGAGAAACTTTCCCAATAATATATTTTTACAATTCAAGTTTTTAACAACAATATTTTTCAAACTAGTAGAAGTAAAGTTTAAGAGCTTAAAAAAATTGCTGGAAAATTAAAGCAAATATTTTAAAGTCATATATTGAAAAGCTTTATAACAAACTGAAATTAACTAGCAGCAACATTGGTAAAAGTTTTTTGCGCAGGATAGTGTTCCCAGTTTCAATTACAGTTGAAATTCATTAAAGCAGGTCTTTGTATACAATTATCATGTTTTTAGAGATACAACAAATTTTCATTTATTCAATTCATTATTCTATTCAAGTAATTTGTCCATGACCTTCTGTTCTTCTTTTTCTTTTATCGAATCCTTTTAAACTTTGGTTGTTTCAATTATGCTGCAGAGCTTCGTTTATGTGCTTTATATGTGTGCGTGTTATTTGAATGTTGAAACAAACCTTAAAACCCTAATTTTTGATTTTAATTCTCTTTTTGAGAACAATATTATATCTTTAAACTGTCATTAAGTTACATTATACCAGTAAGTGTTATCAGATTTTTGTAATAACTCCTTAAATCTACAATAGGTTTTACATAAAATGCTAAGAGCGTTTTGTATTGTAGTTTGGAGATAGTGTTGAAAATATTTTATAAAAACTTATAAAAAAAATATTTCATTATTCAACTCATTTAAATTGATTACTAAAGATTAAAGACATTAATGAAATTGCTTCTTTTTTAATCAACAGTTTCTTCAACATATACATAAAGTGACAGTAAAAAAACCAAAGTGAAGTATACTCAATTTTACAATATAAATTAAAAAAAAACCACACTTGCTATATTGCATAAAATACCACAGAAATTATAACGAAATACACAAATTTTATTATTTTATTTATTATATAAATTTGCCACACAAAAAAATTTATAAATTTATAAATTTATGTGTAAAATTCCAAAATACATACATGCCACTTTCATTGTAAGCTCTGTTATCTAAGATTCATAATTTGTTTTCAATTTTAAAAATAGGAAAAAATTCCATGAAATATGTAAGTGTTAGTTTCGTATTCATTTGGTCTTAGAAATGATTGCGTTGTCACGTGACAAGAAATGTCAAAACTATCACTATTTGGGTAGACTTTTCACAAAAGCAGTCATTTCTTATAATGCTATAGAAAATTCTATAGCATTAAACAAGGTCCAAACAAAGCATTCCTCTTCTTTAGATCTTCATTCTTTTTGAATAACATCGTTTTGTGATATACTGTGAGTAATAACTATATTCTAGTTAGTTAAATGCATTTTTTACTTTCATCAATTCATCAAATTTAAATTTTAACAAGGCGAACTGTTTAGCTTTACAATAAAATGTAGCATCATAAACATTTTGTTATGGTTGGTCATTTTTATTTAGATAAACGTGACCAACCATAACAAATACTGCTTTCTGACATCAGATTACCTGTCAAATTTGTCAAAGCAAAAACATTTTCATCAAGTTTCTAGCGAAAACCCACTTACATTAGCTAAGGGACGCTGGTAAAAAAACATTCGAAACTTATGTTACATATGCTCGTACACGTATAATAAACATAACATTCGAACTTAGTATGCGAAAACCTGTATGGCTTCTAGAATACAATCAAAAACTAGTACATACTTTGACAAAACAATGTGTAAAATCTAAATAATAAGGTACCATAAGTATGTTACTCGTATATGCAGTATTGATATTTTTTAATTTTTGTTTTGTTTGATTTTTATAGTACCAGTAGTTTAGGATATATCTAAGTAGAAATTAAATTGTACAAAACATCAAAACGCGTCCAAAGTGTTTAAACTATACACATTTATTGCTTAATGCTATTTATCCTGTATTTAGGGGAAAGCCAATTACATATAGTAAACAGAGGCAAACAAATCTATCTCTTCTGTACGAAATATTTATCAAACTTTTATCAATATATATAAGTAATGAATGACAATTTATTACATATTGACAAAAATTTAATTGTGAAAAAAGTGTGAGATTTAAACGAATCGAAAGTGCCTTTAAAATTAACAATAAAAATCTTGAGGCAAACAAAAAACTGTCAAATATTTGATTAAAAGTTCGTAAAAGCGGCTTCTATTTCACGAACATTTGAATTTTTCGTCATTAAAAATTAAATTTGAGATTGATAAAAATGTTTAATTCTACAAATTTTCAAAGCAAGTTCCGCAATGTTATGTTACAGTGTCATGTGCTCGTACAAATATGAACAGATGAATCCGTGAGGTGAAACTTTGCGCACAAGCTAAAATTTTCACGCTATTAAATTAAGATCTTTTTAAAAATTGTATTTACATTATCCATATGTTCTAAGATAAATCTATATTTTAAGATTCTATTATAGATGAAGTTTTCAAGATTAAAAAACACTTTATTTTATATTGTATGTATCTTAACAAACCCCGTAAATCTTAAATATAATTAAATTGCCATAAAATATGAATATTATATTAATTATTGAATTTGTTTTACACTTGTTTGCTGAAATTTTTTTAAAACTTCTCATTACTTTTTCTTTGTATTTTATTTCTCGTATGTTCATCCAACCATACTCCACCAACGCAAAATATCGTAATAATTTTAATTGAACAAAAAATTAATGAAATATGCATGCATATCTAAATTCAAAATCGAAAAAAAAATTTTTCTAATGACTTTCTTGATTTAAAAAAAAAATAAAATTTGCAAAAACGAATTGAAATAAAAATCAATAAATATCAAATTGTATAAAATCATCATCATTGTTATCATAAAACAACCACTATAACATTCAACAAATATTTAAAAAACACTAGTCTACATCAACAAACACAAATTCATTTAAAATTTATCGTAATAGTATAAAACCAAACAAGGGTTTTATTGATACTGGAGATGTAACAGCAACACCAGCAATACCAGCAACTGCAGTAATATATACAATACCATCATCCACAATAGCAAATAATTCCATAATTGATTTTAAAACTGTTGCTAATGGCAGTAATAATATTGAGAGCAATGGGAGTTATAATAGAACAGCATCTGCTGTTTTTAGCAATGGAAATGGTACAAATTTTATACCAAATGTAAATAATTCATTAGCAATGACAATAACAACTGGTACGAGTGGTGTTTCAAATCTATCATACTCATTATCGTCATCTTCGTCGTCAACATCATCAACATTATCAACTACATCTATACTGACAACTGTGGCGACAACTGTATCATCGTCTCTATCAAATACGTCATCACCTCAACTTGCTACAGGATCAATATCATTAACATCATCGCATCAACAAGTAATGCCAACATTATCTGGTAGTCCTAATAGAGCCAGAGACAGAAATATATACAATGCTCCACCAGCTAGTGCTGCTATATCTCTACCTAATTTAAGAGGTCACTGAAAACAATAATTTCAATAGTTCAACTTTCTTTTTTCATTTTCTTTCTCACTTTTCTTTAATTTATTTTATTTATTTCACCGTAAATTTTGATTTTGAAAAACAATAATTATTATAGATATAGATATAGATTTCTTTTTCAATTTAAAATCAAAAAAGAAATCTATATTATGAATTGTTGTTTTATGTTGTAACTGTTTTTGACTTATGGGTGTTTTTGATAATTCAGTTATTAACGTATTTACGAACTGTCAAAGAGGTATATTCTAAAATGCAAAAAGCGTTTTTCATCTCTTTGTAAACAACAACTCAGATCAGTAAGAAATAACCAGAATTTTTCAATTTTAATTTTATAATCGCTTTAACATTTTTCCTATAAATGTCAGATTATAAGTATGCATCAAACACTTTTTCCTATTAACATTATTTAAGTTTGCTAAAAAAAAGCTGCATTATCAAAAACCCCTGATATCTCATTTTGAATTTTGCATGTTGTAATATCACGACATAACTGAAATAGTTTTATTTTAGATTTATTATTTATTAGACATAACTAAAATAGAGGCGAAGAACAAAAAACTGAAAAAATGCACCGCAGATAGAAAGTCACTTGTAAAACTATTCTTTTTCCTGAATTTCAAATATTTATATATTTTTAATATTAATAAGTAATTTTTGAAATGACATCTTCAATTTATTAATGTAACCATAACACTGCTGAGAACGAAAATGCGAAGTAAACCTTCAAGATTTTGTTTTTGTTTTGCCGAGAGTAAGAGTCATTTAAAGTCCATTACATGAATGGGTGTGAGTAAATGGATTTATTGAATTTTACTTTTTAAGCCTAAAATTTAAGCTAATCAAATTTATTTAATATATTAGATTAACGTAGTAGGTTTAAAATGTGCATAAGTACTGTGTAAATGTATATTGATGTCCCATTACCTACTTGTAGAAAAATTACAATAAGCGTGATATATAAAAATGCTTTTAATGTTTTGTTTATTATGGTTACATTTACCCAGTGACGGATCTACCATATAGCCGGAAAGCAGGAACACAATCGAAAACTTAAAAAGAAAATTAAATTTTAAAAATTAAAATTTTTTTCCATCATACTCGTACGTATTTTCCAAAAATGGTTTATAGTGGAAAGCACGTAATAAGGCGCACTTTTCGGAAACCGCATACGGCGCCGAACAAGTTAGAACCGGGCCTGCATGTACCTCAAAAATACTAGAACTTTGCGATATGTAAATAGATACATATGTGCATATACATACATAGCCTTGGCTTGCTCGTCCCATATCAAAAAAACAGCGAATCCAATCTATAATTCCAACTGTTGTGTTTACCGATTTCTATGACAAATCTTTTTGATTCTTTCTATTTCTCCCATAAGAGAGAATATAGTTCAATTTTTTTTGCGACTCAAGTCGTCGCAAAAAAAATTGAACTATATTTTTCAGCAAGGAAGAAAGAAATGAATTGCAAAATAGCGATATTTAGTAAATTAGAGTTGTGATGAGGGAAGAAGTTAAAAAAAAGTTTTATTCTAACGAAGCATGTTGTTCAAGTTTCAGAAAATGGTAAATTTTTGCGGGTATTTCGTCATTGTAAAAGATTTGCTTGTAATATTTCGCAGTAGTAGAAGCAACCGATATTTTTCTGCTTTTGCGGAATTTAGAAAATGTTTAGGATTTCAACACAATAAATTTACGAAAAGTGGAGATTTTAGGGCTATAATTTTTGGAGAGAGAAATAGTTGAAGAGTTTTTTCAAAAATATTCTTCAAACAGAGTATCTTAAACACACTTTGGTAACAGTTTAAAAATCCTAAAACTTTAATAAAAATTTAAAAAGAGACCCAAGAGAAAGGGATACTGAAAATTAGTATCGGGGATTAAGATATATTCCTCAAGAGAACCAGGAAATTCTCATGGGTTATTGCTGCATTGGACCTGCTGCACCTGTCACATCAACCAACCAACTCAAAACAAAAAAAAATGCTTAAGAAATCTTATAAATTTTAAACTTGTACACGAACCAAATTTTCGAGTGTCATTTAGTTCTAAATTCAATATATAAATTCAACCAGTGTAGGCATAGATGAGCTTGATTTAGTTGTGTAATTTATACTTTGACCGTGCATTTTGGAAACTAATTATGGAAAATTTACTTTTATGTATTTCAAATGAATTTATGTACCTTAAATATTTGTGTGTTTTTTTTTATTTTTTACTTTTATATTTATTGTCTTTATTTATTGTTTGATAATTGTTTATTTCCTATGAAATAGTTTCTTACTTATATAATGTGAAAAAAAAATTGATTGTAATTCGAAAATTGGAAATAAAACAAGCACTCAATCTTATTTGTCTTCCAAATTTTTTTTAATTTTATTGTAATTTAATTTTTATAAATTAGCAAAATAATTTCCTTTTTTTTAGAATTATTAACAAACGTAATTCAAAATATTATTATCGTTCTTAAATTTTCAGATACACCTGGGAACGAACGGGAGGAATTATTTATACAAAAATTAAAACAATGTTGTACATTATTCGATTTTTCCGAACCTTTAAGCGATTTAAAATGGAAAGAAGTAAAACGTGCAGCACTGCACGAGATGGTTGAATATTTAAGCAACAATAATGGCGTTATTACGGAACAGATTTATCCAGAAGCGATTAATATGGTATGATACTTTAAAATATAACCTTCTATTTTGTATCTTGTTTTTCTATAAGTATACAATATATAAAACTAAGTGAATATATATACATTAATTTATTATAGCCCGTTATTAGCTAAATCAAGGTTTTGTTTTTATCTTCAACCTTTGTTAAAACGGCTGAAATCCGCAAAAAATGCGAACAAGTGAAGGCATTTAATAGATCTATATTGAAATATGTAAAATTTTTTATTATTTCAATGCTTATTTTATCCACCTTTTTGGGATAGATTCAAACCAAAATTAATCTATGAAACAAAAATCAGAAACTTGATTTGTTCTCAAGTGTTTTAATTTTTGTTTAAAAACGCTTCCATAGGTTTTAGTTTTTCAAATTGTTTTCCTTATTATTTTTGTTGAAAATATGCCGTACTATTTCAGTGTTTTCATTGTCTCTCATCAAATGTATATTAAAAAATAAATATTACATTTATAGTTTCAATTGATTTCACTTTCTGATGTTTATTTTAGTTTGCTGTTAATTTGTTTAGAACATTACCACCATCATCAAATCCAAATGGTGCTGAATTTGATCCAGAAGAGGATGAACCAACACTAGAGGCATCGTGGCCGCATCTGCAATTTGTTTATGAATTATTTTTACGTTTCCTTGAATCGCCAGATTTTCAACCAAATGTTGCTAAACGTTATATTGATCATCATTTTGTTTTACAATTGTTGGAACTATTTGATTCAGAAGATCCTAGAGAAAGAGACTTTTTAAAAACTGTTCTACATAGAATTTACGGAAAATTTTTAGGACTAAGAGCATTTATAAGGAAACAAATCAATAATGTATTTTATAGGTAAGATTTCAGATTGTAGATAAGATTTTGTACAGCCTTCATAGAGACTAGACTTCAATGTTCTATTGAAAACAATATGTAAATTTTTTTTAAAATAAAGCACTTCAACTATATTAGGTTTTTAATACGTTTTCTTCATTCAGGTTCATATATGAAACAGAACATCACAATGGAATTGCTGAGCTATTAGAAATTTTGGGTAGCATTATAAACGGTTTTGCATTACCACTTAAAGAGGAGCATAAACAATTTCTATTAAAGGTTTTATTACCTCTGCACAAAGCAAAGAGTTTATCTGTATATCATCCCCAATTAACTTATTGTGTTGTTCAATTTCTTGAAAAGGATCCTAGTTTATCAGAACCAGTAATTAGGTATTAAATTAATCAGATTTATGGAAATATGAAAATAATACATATTAATTCAATAAAGCTTTAAAGATTAAATGAATTTAAATGAAAAATGAATTTAATCTTTAAAGTTTAATAGTTTTATTAATTATCCTATTTAATATCAGAAAAATTATTTTTTTGTATTAGTACAGTTCGACACATGTTGAACAATGAAGAGATTAGCATGTTAATTAAGATTTGAAATAAGCATTTAAGTAATTGATTTAATAATTTATTATATTATTATTGCTATTATTGAAAATTTTAAGTGCTCGGAACAGAAAACTTAACATTAATTTTACTTTGTTGTTTAATTTTGAGTTTGTAAATTTCTATTAATTGATAGCTTTCAAGTTTGTTCTTTTGTCCCACATTTAAGAAAAGCTTAATTATTGGGATACTACTAAAAAGTAACTGTAGCACAAAAAGAAAATTATAATTTTTTTACGTTAAAAATTAAAAGAAAAATAAGTATGTATTTATTATAAATTGATATCAAAAAGCTCTTGTTGATATTATATATCCGCAAATATAATAAATACATACGTATACTAATTCAACAGACATTAAATATTTTAGGAGTTTACTGAAATTTTGGCCAAAAACACATAGTCCCAAAGAAGTAATGTTTTTGAATGAATTGGAAGAACTATTGGATGTTATAGAACCAGCTGAATTTCAAAAAGTTATGGTACCTCTATTTCGTCAAATTGCAAAATGTGTATCAAGTCCACATTTTCAAGTTGCTGAACGTGCCCTTTATTATTGGAATAATGAATATATAATGTCATTAATAGCTGATAATTCACAAATTATATTACCAATAATGTTCCCATCTTTATACCGCAATTCTAAAACTCATTGGAATAAAACTATTCATGGCCTAATATATAATGCATTAAAATTATTTATGGAAATGAATCAAAAATTATTCGATGAATGTAACAAGAACTATCGTCAAGAAAAACAAGCGTATGTTTCATATAAAAGTACATGTTTCATTATACAAGAGCCATTAATTTATAATTACTTTTTTCTTTGAATCTCTTGTTTAATTATTTTATATTATGTTTTTCATTCCAGTGAAAGAGATAAAATGAGTCAGCGAGAAGAGTTATGGTCGCAAATTGAGATTTTGGCCAAAAATAATCCAGAATTTTCAAAACTTCAAATATGCAATCAAACAGTATCACTCAGTATTTCTAATAGTCAAATAGAGTATGAACAAATTACTGAAAATTGTGATTTAACTTATGACAAAATAGAACAAGAAACTCGTGAGGTTGGTGATATATATGTAAGTATAATTTTAGTAACATATATTGCTGATTTTTACATTGCTGATATTTACATCTAACCAAAACAGTCCCGTAATGAGCGAAATAAGGATAAACCATTGATTCGAAGAAAATCTGATTTACCTGCTGATACTGGAACAGTTCGTGCTCTTATTGAACATAAACGTGCGGATGAATATCTTAAAACTCCACCTGATGTCAATAACTGCTAGAATAACGCTCCTTTATATAATATAAAATGAAATATTTAAAGAAATTTATCTATAAACAATGTTAAAAATATAAAATTAAAAAGAAATAAACACAAGTGTTATTTTAAGTTTATAAATATTTTTAAACTTAAAAACAAAAACAGCTATTTTTTTAATCATTATCATTGCTATTAATATTAATATTACAATTATTTTTTATTATATTATTATTATCAATATTACAAATATTATATCTAATAAAAAACATAATTTTTAATACATAGCTAGATTATACTTGGCGCGCAAAAATATTGCACTGATATAAAAATATGTATGCATACAAAATTATATGTATTTATGTATAGATACAAACATTTTATAAATTGAATATAAAATAAGAACTAAAAATATGAGTTAAATGATTTATAAATATTTTTTGTTATGTAACAATGTAAGATAATTTAACAGTGGAAGAAAATCAAAATGTTATTTTTTTTAATATAAAATAAAAATTTCTTCATAACAGGTATCTATGAAACGTATTATTGAAATATCTAATAAAAATGTTGAATAATTGAATTTGGTAACTAGAAAATCGTCTTTTGAAAAATTTTACTAAAACAATCCATTTTAACAATTTTTTATTGTTGCGATTTCTTTTTATTAAATACAATTTTATTGTTTAAAATGTAGATCGCTAAAACTATTTGCTTTGCAGTATTATACGATGATTAACTTATATTTCTACCCTAACGTCAAATACTAATTTTTTTTTTTTTTTATGGAGAATTTAGAAAAAACTAAATGCTCTAGCAATGAATTTTTTTCGAAAATAAAAATTGTTTGCGGAAAATAAAGAAAATTCGTTGCTTATTGTAGGGGGTGTCAGATTTTATAGCTAAAGAAATGGAAAGGCAAGATTTGCAGAATCCAAATTAGTAATAATTGAACATTTAATACTAAGGTAATAAGACTTTTACAACTGGCCAACATTTTTTGTTCAAATTTTCTTTTTAGACTTTTTTTTGATATTTTCTTGTAACCTTGTCTGTTTCCAATTACAAATTTTCTTTCAATTTGGTCAATACATACTAAAAAGGCATTACCCATTTTGCAACAAAGACTTTGCGTGAGTTTTTCTGAGTGATATTCAAACATTTATAGAAAGATTTGTCAAATAATAATACTAAGTTGAAAAATGCAATTTTAACAAAACATTTCACTAATGAAAATGAGAGTCAATTATAGATTCAAATTTTAATACAGAACTTTTTTAAACCTAGTAACTATACACTTTCATAATTGCGAAAATATTTAAATCCTGCATTTACACATTCAAATATATTACATTCAAAATAATTAGCAGTCATGTTATACACATAAACATGATACACTTACAACAATACACTTACACACCGTTTCATTTGGAAGAGCATTGTGAAAATAACCGAAAACTATTTTAAAATTTTTTGAAGACTTAAAGCTAATCAAACGAACCGTGAGATCCAAAATGCAGTTTTAATGTAGTAATCCATCTCTGATTCAATTTGTAGTTTAAAAATTTGCACCATGTAGCAAGTTCTAAATTGTTAAAAATAGGTTTCAACCTAAGCCGCCGTTATGTCCCGGATCGAAGTAGTTACACTTCAATTGTATCCCCTACTTAATATCTTATATACCACCAATAATACTACTTAATATCTTTATATCTAACAAATCACAAGAGAGAAACTTATTTTATATATGTAGGTTTTTTTAAATCGAATTCCCCATTTTTTGGAAAAAAATGACATATACTTTGGTCATACTTTTTTTGAAAAATTTCAGTAAATATTAACAAGCTCATTATATATAGAGCGACATTTAAATAAAATTGTTCGAACATATTTTTTTTAATTAAGGCTCAAGCTTTCTTTTTCAAATTTCTCGAATTCTCCATTCTCCCGAATGGAGCTCAAGCAACGATTAAAATTTTTAAATTTTACATACAAAAATATCTTCAAAATTAAGGTTTTTTAATGCAATTAAAGTTTTTCAACATTGGAATTTTTCGCCTTAAAGCTTTTTGCTTTACCTTTTTCCATATTTTTCAAAGTTTACAGAAAAATATTTTGACCAAAAAGTCGATTTATTAGGCAATGCATGGCAGCACTATTTCCATCACAGAAAAGTTTTTGGTTCGATTTGAAATCGTGACATTTTATTTTCCGACTTTTTTCAGTTTAACTTCAATTGAAGATCTCGAAGGGTTCGTAAAAATTTTTTTATTTCGAATCACCAAAATGAAAATTTTATTTTAAAAAAATGATTTTCCGCAAAACTGGAAACGCATGTGAATACATACCGTATAATTTAAGGACCGCTGTTTCAGAGTTAACAAAGGAAATCGTCTACCATTGCTACTCACCGCAATTTTTTTCAATATCTGTTTTCACAATTACTAAGTTTATCGTCAAAATATATGTTAGTTATCGTATGTACGAGAATAAAAAAGTATTCAAAAGTATCGCATATGTGAAAACCTCTGTTAGGCATACTACTCAACTGCAACAAAAATGTGTATCAAATAAATACAACGTCAGTAATATTAAAAATTTCTCAAAGATGCTCTCAAGAAAATAAGAAAAACAAACTAATACGACAAACACTCAAATTTTCAAAAATAAATCTTCCTGGTGACGTCACATTCTCAAACATCAAAATTATCAGCAAACATTGTTATTATTAGATCATGAAGGCAAATGAAACATCAGAGCGATTTCACGTCAAATTCAAGTAACAAAAGAAAATTTTGTGTTGGGAAAAACAAAAGGAAATTTGATGTTATAGTAAAATATGTAAACTAATAATTATGTAGTAATTAATTTAGATTGAGAATATTCAGATATTTTTCAGTTATTTTATTTTATTTGTTTGCAAGCTAAAAATTTTCACTTTAAAGTCAAAATGGATGGAAATAGCTTAGAATCAAAGTATCAAAAATTAGCCACAGAATACTCAAAGGTAAATTCAACAAACTAATGTAATTCACATTAACTACAAAGAGCGTTTGTTTTTGTTTGTTCGTACTGTAACGCCCCTATTATAATACAATTAATTTTTAAATTATAAATTTATACTAAAATTGTTATACATATATTTACATATATTATCATTTTGAATGTTTAAGATAAGGGCACAAGCGAGTGTCCTTAAAAAGGCTGTTATTGAAGAGCAAACCAAAAATTTAACATTGCGTGAAACATTGCGGCAAAAAGAAACATCTTTAAGAAGAGCTGAACAAGAAGTAGATAGTCTAGGATTTAGGTACATATTTTTATACTTATAAACAGTAAAAATTAAATTGTTAAATATTTTTTTTCAGAAATAAACAATTAGAGTATAGAGTTGCATCTTTACAAGAAGACTTAGAAAAGGAATCAAAAAAATCTAATGCAAAACAATCAAAGACGAACAAAACTTTGAATAAAAATAATTGTATAAATTCTATAAATTCCAATAGTAACGACGAGGTCAGAACTTTGAATCCAAGCGCTTCAAATACATTTTTTGAAGAACTCAATGCAAAAATTCAAGAAAATGCTACTATTACATCATTGCTACATGATAAAGAACAAGAAATTCAACTATATAAAGAGAGATGTTTGAATTTGGAAAAACAATTAGAAAAATGCAATTCAGATAGTACAGAGCTAGAAAAGCGTTTGAGAAGAGATTTGGATGCACTCCAAATCCGTAACTCTGAATTAGAGACAAAACTTGTAGAGGCAGCAAGTATGGTAAGATAGGCCACTGACGTTAAAACTTAAATGAACTAATTAACTAATTTTTATTTAAGTTGGGAAGCGAAGACGCATTAAGTGCATCTGGCAGTGACAATACAACCCCGTTGCATACTACTACGGGAACAAGTTCATCATCAATTGAAGAACGTATAATATATTTGGAGAAGGAGATTTGTCACTGGAGAACCCAGTATGAAATTTTGAAAATCAATAATTGTATACCGTATGATCGAAACATGGATGTACAAACTCAAGTAGCAAACGGTCCAGCAAAAATTGATTGTCTAGGCTCCTGTTCGAATGATAAAATGTAATGCATAGATAAAACTTGCTAAATATTTTTTGATTAACTATAACTGAAAATATTTATTTATAATTCAAGTGATATATCCAAGGAACAACATGAGAAATTAGAATGTAAAGAACAGCTATTAATTAAGCATTTTAATAAAAAAATTGAAGAAATGCTGCGTTCCAAATGTACAATCGAATCCAGATTATCTTCATACCAAACTGAAATAGAAACACTTCAAATGCACATAGAAATTTTGATGAACGAAATTAAGAGTAAAGAAAACGAGTTGAGAATAGCCACTAAAACTAATCAAACGCTAGAAGATCATTTAGTAAGCCTGATTTTCACTTTCTAATTTACTTCATTAATATTTAAATATTAATTTGGTTCATTCAATATTTTTAGACAACAACTCGATTTAACTACGATGAACAAATAAGTGTTCTAACTGAACAGGTCATAAGTCTGAGTGAGCAATTAGCTTCGTCAAAATAACAGTTTAAAATTTATTTGAAATAAAAATTACAATAAGAAACAACCGCCACAATAAAAATAAAATTTATAAAGTATTGTTTTATGTATAAAAAAAAAATTGTTTAATTGTAAAATAAAATCAAACTATCCAATTTTTGTGACTATTACGAACTTTCATAGTATTTAAAGAATTCGAAGTTTAAAAATGCTATATACATATTTAAAAGTTTTCTGAATCTCATTTGTAAATAAGTAAACATTTGAATCAAAATTTTTAAGTGTATTTATTATATATATAATTATAAATAAACTATTATATACTTAATGTTTGGAGAAAGTGAATTAATTTCATTTCACATCTTTTTCCCACTTTTACAATTGCCTCCATTTTTATTATTAACGTAAGTAATTCGATTGTATTCAATTATGTATGATGTAGGTATGCTTTATCACGCTAAGTAGATAACACAGTAAATTTGCTTAATCTAATCGAACTGCAAAAGAAGAACCACAGGAACATCCAGCTTCAGCTTTTGGATTTGAAACTACTTTAAACCCGGTTTTAATTAGTTCTGAGTGGTAATCAATTGTTGCACCTGCACAATATTCTAAAGATATTGAATCTACAACTACCCTTTCAGTGCTAGAACCAAAAATTTTATCATCTTCTTTAAGTTCTTTATCTATTTCAAATTTGTAAGTAAAACCGGAGCAACCGCCACCTTCGACTGTAAGCCGTAAAAAGTACTCACTATCACATATCTCCTTCAATTTTCTCTTACAAGCCTCACTTATATATAAATCAGTTTCGTTTAATTTCATATGTTCGGATCCAAGATCATTTATTTTTGATGTTGCAAAAGTATTTTGCAGTATGCGATATTTGAAATTCTTATCGAAAATTTCATAACTTTTTTTGCAATTAAGATTTTTGTTTTGAAATAATGTAGTTGACAATATTTGTTTTATCATAATTATCTTAAGCAAAACAGCGAGAATGTTAAGTATCTTAAACTTGTTATTATTTATTAATTATTACATAAAACAACTCAATATAAGTTGAACAACATGCCAATACAAAACATCTGTGACTTACCGATTTTGTTTGATCATTAACATATTCCATCAAAAATGACACAATATGTGAAGTAATCGGGAAGAATTTTGTTTTTAATTTGTTTACTTTTGTTTTGCAAAAGGGAAGAAATAATTAACCTAATAGGTCCAATCACAAGGTGAAAATTAACAAATTACTCGGTTAAATTTTAATTCTTGACAATCTGCTGATGGTAATTTACTCCATTCGTAAGGTTGTGTTATCAACCATAAATTATCTTGATTCAATAAATCTAAAATGTCTTTTGTTACATACATATATGTTTAGATTTTAACACATTGTCGTAGCAAATATATGTACATTTGCCAGATATATTTGTTTGATGTTGTCAAAATTAATTTAATGTGTCAAAAAATTAAGTAACAATTTTTGGTAAAAAGAATTACGGTGAATATATAAAAATTACAACTTTTTAATAAAATAAGTGGGTTTAAATTTAATTCTTTTATTAAGCTTATTTTAATTTTATTTTGTTTCGTGTTTTATTTTATATCTATGTTTGTTTGCTTGTCGGTATCGCACTTGAACTTTAAAAATGTCAAAATCGGCTGTTCAGCCCTGAAATTAAGTAACCTAAAAGTTCATTTTTGTTAAGCATTAAATATCACAAGAATTGATATATATGTATGTATTATTGTATAGCTATTTTTTGTTTAGCTGTCAAATCAGTAAAATTAAAATTTGCCTTTTTGCAAAAGGAACTAAGAAGTTGAGGGCTTTAATTTTTTTAACAGTAAATTATTATGTTAAATAATACATGGGGAAAAGGTAAATTTAAAGTTTCATAAGTAAGTTTATAATTGCATTGCAAATTTCACAAAACTACCTATTTTAGTATGGAAATTGCACTCAAACTCAATTCGAAATCTAAGTCAAGCAAAGGAATTATATCAAAAAGTTTCGATATTAACTAATAAAAATGATGATTACGAAACGCATGGTTAGTAAGAACAAAAATGTGCCATACAACTGATAAATTTATTTTTAGATGGAAACTCTATTGAAAAAGAGATCTTAAAACATCCAGATTACTTTGAAGTTCATAATTTATTTACTGTCAAAGATTTATTTGATTCTCGAGTCCACTATGGACATAAAGAAGGATCTTTAAATGAAAGAATGTTGCCATATGTATATGGATCAAGATTAGGTCATATTGTTTTTGATTTAGATAAAACAGCAAAACTTCTTCGAGAGGCTTTAAATTTTGCAGCTCATATTGCTTTTCGGGATGGTGTAATTGTATTTTTCAATAGGAATGCCCTTAATTCACATATTGTGGAAAAGAAAGCGATGGAAGCTGGAGAATTTTCACACACAAGGTTTTGGCGAGGAGGCATCTTTACAAATGCAAATGTTCAATTTGGTGCTGTGACTCGATTACCCGATTTGTGTATATTTTTCAATACACAAAATAATATCCTAAGTCAACATACTGCAATTAGAGACGCAGCTAAAATGGGAATACCCACTATTGGAATAGTCGATTCTAACTGTAACCCAAATCTGATTACATATCCAGTTCCAGGCAATGACGATTCTCCAGCAGCTATTATGACGTATTGCAATTTATTTAAGGAAGCCATTCTTCGTGGAAAAAGAAAGCGTGTTGAAATGTTAAGCTAGTCCTTTAACATATTGTTTTTGAATTTTTTTAATTTTGCATTTCTGCATACATATATGAATGCTGTAAATCACAGATTTTCATCCACAGTGTACAAGGTCATGATAATATTGAAATGTATTTTTTTAAATACATATGTTTGTATCTATTTCTACGATGTCCTCTATATTCAATTTCTATTTAGCATGCACATTGAATTTTGTATATTTTTTATGAAAATCTTTTCAACACGAATTGTATGTTATATATTGGTCAAAATAACGTCGATAGATCAGTAATAAAGAAACTTTTGTTAAAATTGAATATATTTACAATTGAATTTAATTTTTAATTTAATTCCAGTGTAACTAATTGTGTACTTTTTTTATATAACCTATTAAAAATGTGAGTAATGAGGGTATTTTTTGATCAACAAGTTTTTTAACTAATATCCAATATACATATATGTACGTACTGAATAGGTGGCTATTACTCTGGCATTATTTTCTGGATTAATTCATCAACCTTACATTAGTAACTCTAGTTAGTGATATAAATTAACATAAATATACCATTTCTATTTATGTAAGAAATACCCATACGGGAATAATTTTTATGTCATCTTTTTAGTTTTTCAATTTTTTTTTATTTTTAAGTTATTTCCAATAAAATGTTGATTACAGTGATGTTGTACTTTATTTTTTCGTATTTTTCGTTTTGTTATTCGAACTATGAAGTAATCTCATAGCCATATAAAAAATAAAAATATGTATATGTAAATAAAGTAGGAATAGAACTTTTGCTTAAGTGTTTAAGTTTCTTTTTTTTATTCATAAAGAATCTATTTTTTTATAATAATATTAATGACATTTCATTTTTCATTATGAGTCGTGTGTTATATTAAACAAAAATGTAGGTAAGATCTCGTAACCGTACCTTGAAAAAACATTAGTCTTAAGCGTATTTTGTTTTTGGAATTTTGAGTACATATAACTTCGTTTTTGTAGAGTATAGCTATAGGGCTTGGAAAGCTCAGAAAATCTTCTTTTTCTTGAATACTTAAAAATTTTTTTAAATTTTTAGATAATGAAATTTTTAACTCTTAATATAAGAAAAGCGCTAATTTTTCAAATTTTTATACAAAAGATTTATCCCTTATAAGAATATATAACAGTACACTTAGAACGCAATACCCTTTACAAGTTCACGGACGTCAAAATAATTAGTGTTTCTGTGGCGTAGTACATATACGATTTCTTAACATAAGGATAAATAACTTGTTTCTTAGTAATGAAAAGTTCTAACAAACTTTTTAAAAATACCATTCTAGTATTTATTAAATGTATTATTGAAATATTGTTACTAAGGAATTTATTAAAAATTATAATTTAGAATAATGAATAAAAACGTAATGAAATTTAGTCCGCTGAATTATATACATATGTACATAGAAATATTTTGAACCAAGACTTACCATTGTGTACCAACCAAGATCTTTAATGTTTCTTAACTTGAATAACTTCTTATTCCAAAATTAAATGCTTTAATTAAACAAGTTTAATTAAAGCATTTTCTAGACTTAGGTAGTCAATTTTATTACGTTTGACATACAATATGAAATTACTATAAAAAAAGTAACAAAATAATTAGGGTTTTTCAAAATGAAAAAAATTGAAGTTTTTCTTTCTTTAATAATTTACTAAGAAGTAAAAAATGAAATCTACACTGATGAAATTATTACAATACTTAGGGCAAAAAATGACTAGATACGTATTGTGCTAAACCGAATATTAAATAATCGTTTCAGAATGTTTTACCTATTTTATTGGTTTTTAATTAAAGTGGGGTTTTTAATTTTAAGAACTCTTCTGATTTTGGTATACATATTACATTTTGTTTAAATGCTTATACATAAATAAATTGCTTTAGCATGTTTATATTACTATTATGCGGTGCAGTTTGGTTAATTAAGTGCATCCCTAAAATTAATTTTAAAAGTTTATCTAAAATAAAATAAAAACTTTTATTTATTGATGAATCATTTACCCCCTCTTATAAAACAATTCGATTTTTGCTTATTTTCACAATACATGTTTTATTTTACAATTATAACTAATACAGCATTTGTATTTTTTTAAGTTTCTTTTATTACTTTTTATTTGCTTTAAGTAAAACGTTTCACTAAAATGCTAAAACACAATTTCAAGTTTAAAATATACAATTTTTAACATTACAATATTATATTACTAGTTATTTTAAAAATCAAAAATTATTTTAACACTACTTTTTTTTAATATACTTAAGATTTATTAAGAATTTAATTTGATTTAGAACTTTTCCTTAATCGTGTTGATAAAAATTCAACGAAAATAATTATTTATAAATCTTTGGCTTATAGTGTAAAATAAACTAGATAAAACTCTAAATACTTGCTTAACATTTAAAGTATGTTTTATGAACATTAAAAACATTGAACTAACATTAATAAACGCTTCCTGAAAGTTACATGCGCCTTTTTCTTCTTGAAATTTTATATACTTGCAAACCATTTTGGTGCAGTGGTATTTCTTTCGAAAGTATGTAAACGTAATTCAAATCATAAGTAATATTTTCCTTATATAAAATAAAATTTATTTTCCATGCGAAGGTATCTAAATATTATTCAATGGCTAGTTTATCAAAAATATTGAATAAATTTTACACAAAATGTTAATCATGTATTCAAATAATAAATAACGTTATTCACTGTTTATGAGTTAGAATTTAAATTTTATTTTATATTTTTATTCTATGGTTTATTGTAAATCTTATAAAACTTTAATAAAATCAAAAGTTATGAAACAATAGACTTCTTGCATAACTTAAAAAATATTTTATCAAGTTTCTGCTCATCAAATAATTGGTATAAAAAATGAACACCTAGCTATGTAGAAAAAAGTGCATATTGATGTAAGTTCACACCCTTGAAATAATTTTGATTGAACAACTAATTAACTTTGCTCCTACCAGAAATTGGGAAATTTGGTTGTTTTGAAAAAGATCGTATTTTTAACATTTTTGTTTTATTTATGGTTTTATTTTAGGCATTTATTCAAAAATAATAATATGACCCTCTTAATTTCAAATAACATTTGTAAACGAGAAACAAAACAAGTGGTGTTAAATTTAATTTATTCCCTGAACTAATAACTTTAAATAAAAAATAAAATTTGAAAGAGAATTTTATAAATATGTTTTAGAAAAGAAAAATAAATGCGGTATCTTTTTTTTAAACTAATTTTTTAAAATTGTTATAATAACGTGCACACATAATTATATTCGCAGTGGAAACATTCATTCATCAACAGAATATTGTAACACTGAGCTCTAAAATTTTTTAATAAAAAAAATGAAAAAACCAGTGTATATTGGAGTTAATCGAGGTCCAAAAGTACTTTTCTAACTTCCTCAAGTGCACATATAAAATTAAAAGTTTTTGTCTTTGAAAAACTGTTATTCTATTTCAATGTCGAGGCCTGTATTTTGTCATGACCATGTGGTATAACCAATTTACTGATCATTGTTGTCTTTCACTGCTAGGCTCTTGCACTCAAAGTCAAACAAGAATTTCTAGATATCTAAAAGTTTTTCCAGCAAGACGTAGCTACATATCTTTCACTCATGGTGGTTATAGTAACATTATTGCACTTTGCTTATAAATTATTTGTTACTTCAAAATATGCGCAACACATAAATTTTACAAATTATCATATTCAAAAAAGTGAATGAAAGTGACATTACATTAATCAAAAATGTTTTTATACACAACGAATTAGAAAAATAAAAATATATCGAGTAATGAAAAAGCCAAATATACCGTTTTTATTCAAACATATGTTATTAAAATGTTGCCAAAGCTATAAAATGTTTTTGCACAAAATCTATCGGAAATACTGTGTCTGATGCGATAACTTTTTACTAAAAGGGTTGAGGGAACGGCATTCATACCATGCTAAACTTTTGCAAAGCATTTTCGAAGAAGGCCTTTGAGATGAGGTTTTTTTTTGGAAAATACTGAGGCAGCTAACTTTTTACTGCCTTAAAATTCTCTTTCTCAAGCTGAACTAAAAAATTAACTACAATGTAATGTAAATATTCGTATTGAGTCTAATTGCATGATCGTTCTATAAATCGCATAAAGTGATGATTAGTTTGTTAGACATGATAAAGTTTCATGTGATGTTAAAGGTAAAACCATGTGTTCTATTTCTCTTACATTTTAATCCGGCGTTATAATAATTTTTCACTTAAAAACCCAATTTTTACTTTTAAAACCCTTAAAAAAGGTAACAAAAAATTGATACTCAAACAATTTTTCTATAAAAAAAAATACGTTTGTTTTAAAACCGAAAAAATTGTATCTTCCAATCAGCACCATATAAAAGTGACATATTTAGTTTTTTTTTCGAAATATTTGTAAGTTTTTTTGTTGAACATTACTTCATCTTCAAAGAGTATGGCTTTGGTTATTGAAACAACGGGTTGAGTGCAAACTCAAACATTATTGCCGCCTTAAATTTTGTTTTACGTATCTAAGTAAAAATACTTTACTACATAAACGGAAATGAATGCGATCAGATCTGCCTCCCGTACACGGAATATTTTACTATATATCAACTTTTTCTGTTTTATATACTTATGTATATGTATAAATCCATCATGCCCTCAATACTGTTATTTTCGGAATTGAAAAAAAAAGATGTAATTGTTTATCTAAAAGCTTTTAGAACAAAAGGCCTAAAATTAAAAGTCCAAATCCAATTCTGTTTCTCGCGGAACAACTAGCTTTATATCTTTTACCTGTAAATTATGTTTTGATTCAGCAGCAAATTTAATCACAGATTGCGTCGTTACTAACGGCACATGACGTAAATCTAACAGTATTAACTGCTCACATTTACTTAAATAATCAAGTGTTAGTTCTGTAATCAAACGGCATCCACTTAAATTTAGTTCAACTAAAGTACCTATAGCACTAGAACAAGTTCCAATTTGTGCAATACCAGCATCAGTTACTCGCTGACATGACGATAAATCTAAGTGTATTAATGATGGTAATCCTTGCGTAATATAGCGCAATGCAACATCTGAAATGTCTGTTCCAGCAATTTTTAATGTCTTTAGATTTCGTAAACGGGATTTTGAATCAGTTAAACCAGGCCTAGAATCTTTCGGTGGAGACAAGATTTCACGAATTGCTGAATCGTTTAAACCACGTACGAAACTGATATCCAAAACTTGCAGTGGTGGACATTGACATGTATGCAAAGCAAATACAGTTTGAATGGGTACGCTTTGTAAGCTTAAGTTTTTTAAAGCAGGTAGTCGTGCAATAATCCAAGTTAATTGCTTTTTGGCAATTTGAGTCCAATCTAGTATTAAGTGTTCTGGTTGACGTCGTACAATCGCAGTTAATAAAGACGCTGTCATCTTATGCTCGGTACAATTCATACATTTCCACAGATCAGGATCTACTGATATATTGGACCATACTTTACAAACTGCTGAACATGTTACCAGTGTTTCTTGAGGCAAATAACGAAAAATTAATTTTACAACTGTTGGATCCAGAACAGGATTTATTGATGGTAAAAGGGCCGGCAAAGGTCCAGGTCGCACAATATATTGTGGTTTTTTTAGAGCACGTGTTGTTGAGGAAATGATTTGCTGAGCTAACTGGGTTCGAGCCAAATTTCTTTTACGTGGAGCATTAGGATTTATTTCCGAATTGTCCATACTATCTTGCAATGTGCTAGATAAGCTGTTTTCATCACTTTTTCTGCGTTTCGCCATGTTTGAATAATGTTCATTACTAGAATCGTCAACACTATTTTGATATTTCATACTACCCCAACTACTATTATTATTACTATTATAATTTTCTGCCTTTATTATAGCCGAAGATTTTGTACTATCTTTTGTAAAAATATCTAACTCTGATTCGCCAGATGTAGCATTTTCTTGATGGTATGTTGATAAAGAAGTATTATGATTAACTAAAGTGTTGCTATCTACATGAGCGCTTTTGTTGTTCTCTAAAATTGTTGAAGCGTCATTACTTAGTGACATTCTGCGTACCTCTGACGATTTTTGACGAGCTCTAAAATGTCTTGGCTGAAATATTTAAGAACAAGAAAAAAATTAGGAAAATAATAGAGAATGCATTAAATGTTCATACTTTATAATCATTATTTTTGCCAAGTTTACAGCAAGAGGGACATTCCCAACTATTGGGCAAATCTTCGTTGACAATACCTCCCTTCACACTTTGTGCTAATTTTTGAGAGCAGTCTGGATGAGCTATTTCGTAACATACAGAACATTCCATCAAAGATGAAGGACCCTCAAGAGATGCCAACTGCTTTGCTTGTGGTGATACTGGAGTTTGCCGCCAACCGTCTAAGTGACAATACACGCATTGTGCTGTCACTGGTAACATAGGAGATAAACATTGGCGCATCATACAAGTCTGTTTAGCACGTCCAGGACCTCCAAATTTAACCATATCTAAGCAAAAACTGCATTCACCGCAGTCAGATCTTTGGCATGCCTCACAAATTTTACAACGTGTTCGCCGCCTTCTAGGTTGACCATTAGAGGTATTGGATGTTACACTAATAGTATTTGAGGTTACGGTAATGTTATTAACATTTGTCAAGTTTGTTGTTGATGTAACAGCTGTGTTATTTTGAACATTAACTATAGGTGTCGTATCTGTTTCATAACTTTGATTTCCATTACTGGTGGAATTCAAATCACAAATAACATTACCCGCTCCATCTACTATGATTCCACTAAAATTGTGTAATTTTCTTAATGCTTTCGTTTTTAAAAATGTTGTACCAGTAATTGTTGTCGGTTGAACAAAATTTGCGTCCTCATTTAATGGAGCCGGGTTAAAAGTACCTTTAATATATTTAAAACCTTAAGGCATATTTTCTTAATTTTAAAATCAAATTATTTTTACTCACTAGAATTTTTATGCTCACTAATATTTAACAATGACTCTTCTACAGCTCCAGATGTAGTACCAGAGTCATTACTACTGTTATTGCTACTAGCACTACTATTACCAGTACTGCTGCTGTTATTTCCATTACCAGTCATAATACTGCCACCTTCCTCTGCTTTATACGCATAATTTTTTAACTCTTGATGCTGGATATATGTACCATCTTCTGTTTCTTGCTTAATTATAGCTTTTAAAGCTACACGATCATAAACTTTGTACTCAACGCTTCGTGCTTCTGGTTGAAGCACAGACACCCCAGTTATTGCCATCTCCGGTCGATCCTTGCAATGTTTTTCGACAAGTGTTCTCACATCCTTTATAAGGGCAACTGGATCTTTAATTAAATCAGGAACACATTTTTTGTGAGATGGTAAATCATACAAATACATAACTATTTCTTTTAAACCGAACAGTTCGTAGTGTGTTAAGTGGATGTGAGGTTGTTTGACAATTTCGTCTTCACTTTTAGATACTTGATTTTCCAAGTGACTTCGCCCTAATAATGTATACACATACTTCGCTAATACATACCATAGCATTTCAGTAAAAAACGGATAACGAAATTTTTGCGGTACTTTTGTTGCGTCTTCAACTTGAGCTGTTTTCAATTGTTTTACAATACCAAATGAATGAAGAAAATTTCCACCAAATACTATAGAGTCAGTCGGTGTGTATACAGCATGTATCCATCCGGTTGGTATAAAAAAAGTATTACCAGCAGTCAAATAAACTCTTGCACATTTTTCAACTGTATCGCCAAAAAACACATCAGATTGCTTTCCAGACAAACACCATTTTTCGTATAGCTGCAAGTTTTTTTCTGTAGGCGGTATTAACCAAAATACCTTACTGCCTTTTAATATATGATACCAAACAGAAGTACCGCCAAAGTCTATATGAAAATCAGTATAACAGTTTTTTACAGACATTAAACAATATTTTTGGACTTTGGGATATTTCATATGACCTAAAGAATTAGTGCCTTCGGTTTGGGCATCTTTGAGTTGTTTTGGCCAAACTACATCAACCCAATCAATATGGCGAACGATTTCTGGACTTTGTATAAAATTATCCATTTTTGTATGTGAAAATTCTAATGAAATTACATTTAACAGCTTTTCTTTTTCCGGTTCTTCATAATATTGCTGCCATTCTTTCATAGTCATTTGAAGATTTTTTTGTGTGTTAACATCCATAACATCAAGAATCCGACGAGATCCAACGCAAAGTCGTACATCGTTTATACTAAAATCAGGTGATGGGACACGTATTCCCAAACCGGTCTTTTCTCGTATTAATAATGGAATGTTGAAACCATATTGTTGAAGGAATCTGATGTAAGTATAAAAGAAAAGAATAAATAAAATAAGATTTATAAAGTAAATATTTATGTTAGCATATTTTTTGTTCTTTTGTTGCATGTTTCTAAAACATACTTAGCGTTCAGACAGATATACAACTTTTTGTTTTGCAATTGTTTGATTGCTTAATTGTATTTCATAGCTTTACATTTAAGCGCGCACACATGCAATTAAACAATTTATTTATTTAACGCAATAGTTTAGTTGCTTAGATGTGCGTGCAACAATTTTACAATCAAGCAGCGATTGTAAAACTAGAAATTGCATGTCTGCCTGGGCCTTTACTATATTTAAAAAATCTTAAATTAAGTTAACTTTAATTTCGAAGAATTTATCACGTTTCCTCCTAATACATATCTTTGGACTTACCCTACGTTTAAATCATTTCCACGCATTTCACGCACCATTCCTATATGCGCAAATTTTGTAGATTCTAATTTTTCAGCTACACTAAAGCCACGCACGCCTTCTAAATCATCGTCACCTAATGCCCATTCTTCTGAATAAAGTTTTCGTTGTTTCCTTTCACGCTGTGTCAAATAAAAATATGAAATATCATTAATTGATTTCTTAAATTATACATATTAAAAATTTTTAATAAGTACGCAATACTCTTTCAAATGCAGCTTAAAAATTTAGAACTTTTTAAGGCAGACAGTTCTGTGTGAACTTTACACGGCTTTTATTTATTTTCTTGCAAATTTAACTTTTTTAAAAAAGAAGGAACAGATACTTTAAATTATGAAACATAACATGCAAAAATGTAAAATTTCTTAAATTGAAAATAACTCTTTTGAATAATGAACCGATAATTCAAAAAAAAAAAAAAATTAAAATAATTAAATGAATTCATATAATTATATCTTAAACATTTAAACGGGACAATAAGAATAGACAATCGATAAAATCTATCCAAAAATACATTTTTAACAACCACATTTCATACACTATAAGAAGTAAGTGTTCTCGTTGAGCATGAAATGGAAGTGCACTTCTTTATCATGGAGATGTAACAATTTTTAACGATATATCGCTATAAAGTAAAGAATTCTGACAAAATATTTGGAAAGATAACGTGAAAAACAAGAATGCATATACTTATACTTATATGCATTCTGTCAAATTCAGTTTTTGCAAAAAAAAAAAAAAAAGAAAATAAAATTGCAAATGTATGGGGTATACCCACCTACCTTCATACATAGCCATACATCTTCTTCTATTTATATAATTGTTCAATAAAAATAACTATAAACACATATTATTATGTATTACATATGACTTTTTGCTTGACCGTTGACTGCAAATAGCTTTTTGAAAAAATAGTTTTTCTTTTCTTAATTGGTTGTTATGTTCTTAAAAATGAAAGGAAACTCGTTCAGCAAGTTTAAAAGAAATAAACACGAATATATGCGAAAATATGTGTATAGTTGTTATTATAGGGAATTTCCGATAAAAGCTTAAGAAATATCAAAACAAAAGAACCTTAAACATGGTTGCTTGTACAAGATGATTCAATAATGCATGTTTAACACATACTACCGTTTAAAATATCAAAAATGAGTAAAATATTTATATGGCGCTGGATGCCAAATCAAGTTTAATATTTTGTCGAGATATGGATTTTAAAAAAATTTGGTAGACCTTATAATCCAGTATAAGGAAGATATGGCAGCGAATTTTTTTTTTTGAAAGAGCTCATTGATGATTTTTCAATAAAGCATGACCTATTATCGTGCTCCTCGTGCTTTCGGAATGACGCATTAAAAATTTTGAAAAATTTCTTGTAAGATTGTAGGATACAGAATACGAAAAATTTCCAAAATTTTTAAGATCTTATACCTTGGAGACCTTCAAAATTGATATTTAATGCTTATCAAATATTTTACCTTTTCTTGGTGCTCTAAATCTAAACGTTGGTATCTTTTTATGTAAACAATCTTTTCTGATTCACCCTGTGTTTTAATTTAAATGCAATTTTTATATAAAATTTCATAATTGAGCTTAGTTTTTAAGGCCTGCAAACTTAAGTTTTGAAGTTTTGTTAGAAAAATAAACGGGTAAGCAGATATAAAAATAAATGAATAATTATAATTTTATATCTAGTTTTTATTAAATAACCTTTAGCCATTTTTATTACTTGAGGTAAGTAACAAAAATTTGATATGTTTCTCAAACAGCCCCGATTCTCTTGCAATGATACCAAACAATTTTATAATAAAATTTGGAATGGTTATAAAGTATCGATATAAATGAGTCTTCTGAGTTCTTATGAAATGCGGCTTCTGAGTCAAGTCCGATATTATTTGAAATAAAGCTTATTATTCTATTATATTAGAATTTTTCAAAAACTACTTAAATAGCTCTATCAAAAAATGCACAAAATAATTACATGGACGAAAAATTTGTTTTTAAAAAGTTAGATGCCTATGTATCTTAAAATTCGTAAACTCGCAAAGAGTACATAATATACATAGTACTCATACATTAATTATTTTTTTAAACATCTTTGTTATTCTGAATGATTTTGTTATACAGTATAAAATAAAAGAGCTAATAACGTATAACATAATGAAAAACCTTCCTCATTTTAAGACGCTTTTTCTTGCAAAATTTCCTGTTAGTACCTATTTACAATTAATAAAATAATTGCTATAAAATACCTAGGAACCTACCTAAATACATATGTATTTTTTAACTTATTTGGAAAAAATGTCAAAAAAATATACTGTGCTTCCTTTTATTAAAAATAAAACAAGACAATTTATGAAAATAAACTGTTTAGTTTGTTTAAAAATTCATACGACTATATATACGTATGTATATAACCAGGTTATTATACTACATAGGAGATATACATACATATGTACGTACATGTTTTACAAGAGTGAACTACGTACATGTAGATAGAACTAGCTAGCATTATGCAAAAATATTTTGTATATTAAATACTAAAGCATAAAACATACACACGTACAAATATAGGAAAGCAATACATACTACAAAAAATCAAACAAAAATATTTTTACTTTTCCAAAATTTAAAAAAAAAGATTCTAACATTAATTTATTCGAATAAAATCAATATGAAGGTTACATATTATACTAGCCACTTACCAATTGGCGGCGATGCTGACTTTTTGTAGCTTGCGATTGCGAGCCCGTGTCGGACATTATACGGATTACTTTAATCTTATTATTTAAAGACAACTTAGGTCATTCAAAAAAATTATTGTAAATAAAGTCACCACTCTCAGCACAGAATCCCTACACTTGTTTTTTTTTTTAAAGACAAAAATAGATTATTTTACTACAGAAATAAATTTACTTATTTTTTATGATTTTCACGAAATATTTTTTATATATTTAAAAACTTTAATTTTATATATGAACTTTATAATAACATATTGAATGAGGATTTTATATTTTTACCACAATAAAATTATTGCACTTAACATCATTCTTCACTTTTAGATTTTTTTCCAATGCGACTTTTTTTTTAAGAAAGAAAAATTACGCACGTAAAACTTCCGTCCGAATATTCTTCTAAAAATATTTAATCTACATTTCAGCAGTCATCAGAAGGAAAATCAAATTGACAAATGACATATAAAACGGATGTCACACAGTACTGCTACGTTACTTGATTTAACTTCATTTGTAAGTTTTCATATCCCTTGTGATTTGTGATATTTTTTAAAAAAGGAACGAGATATTTAATTTTCTTTTTAGAAATTTTAAGTCTGTATCTAATTTTACAGCAAGTTTGAATGACTTTCAAATATTTTAAAAGTGATTTCTCTTTTTAAGTAATTTAATTCTATGTTCTATTTTCTTATAGAAAATAACATGTTTTTTCATTTTACTAACATAGATAGAGGCAAACACCTTTGTTGGCAAATATTACGTTCAACTCTCGATTTCGTCAATATGCCTAAGACAAAATGAAATTTTAGCTTAGTTTTTAAAAATTCGTGTTTTTCATCAAAAATCATTATTGAATTTGAATTTATACTATGACGTTGTCAAAAAATAACGTAGTTATTTTTAAATTAAGGTTTTTTAAAACTAGCTTCAAACCTTATTATTTTTGAATAAATTAGTTATTTGATATCCGTTCTTTTGTTTCATTTGTATGAAATCTATCAAAATGTTTATATTATGTAATTCGTTTTTGTAATGTTTTTTACATGGAATGTATGTTATATGGATCTCAAATTTTTAAATAAACAGTTTGATTCAGTTTTTGTTTAAGTTGAAAACTAAACAAGACTCATTTCCTGTGACTAAGCGTCAGGATTTATACAAAATCTTTACAATTATGTGGTTGAATGAAACACCATCAACAACTTAAATCTGTTGTCATATAATATTGTACCTTCAAACGTTATTTTACTTGAAGGTTGCTTTTGAAGAAACTAATTTTGCTTACTTGCTCAAAATGTTGAAGCACCGATTAAAAGCTTGAAAAATTAAAAACAATGGATACTAACTTTTTGTTTAAAATCAGATTTATGAAAATCGCTCTTGTTCAGTTTTCAAATTAAACGTTTACGCTAAATAATGAAAACGTCTATCGAAGTGTCATTTTTCGTGATGCTGTTAAATTTCGAAATGTTTCTTCACATTTCAATCACAAATTGTACTTTTCTAAATTTTACGCTTAAAAGAAATTTAAAAAAAATAGTAGCTATTATTAACAAGGATTAAATTGATGGAAAAAACTGAAAACCTATTTTTTTATCACATGCCTGTGATTGTTAAAGTCTATTGAATGAATTTAATTTTGTAACATGTAATTATGTATTACCACGACGGGTGACAGGAATAATAACTAATAGGAGGTGTGTAAATCAAATTATGTACTTTAGAAATTATGGGTAAATACTAAATGAGGCTACTTTGGTAATTAGAAGCACTAACGAAAATAAAAGGACTAAAAGCAGTTATAATCAATTACCTTCTATTGTCTTCTCTGTTTCCGAGAATTCCTGACATAAAAATGTTTCAACTTCAAAGTAAAATGAAGTTTTTTAAGCAAATTCATTGCTTAATTATAACAAGAGCATTTAGTGGTATGAAAGAAGTAGCTATAAGAAATTATTTTCACTGTTCAATTTTTGTATTGCAGTTAATACTCCCAATTTTACAAAACGTTGGGTAGCACCGACCTTGCGTGAGTTACGTCATAGACGCAACAAATTTAAAAGTGATGTATTTACAGCAAGAAACACATTTCTGGAATGGAATTACAATGCTGAAATATTTGCGTTTGGGAAAAGGTTAAATGAGGATTTCAATATGAAACATTTGCAGGTAGCATTTATCGACATATCGTATACAAATCAAGAACAACATCGTCAAACAACTTTAGAATTTGATCCTCCTCTAAACATGCAAAACAACAGAGAACTTGTTGAAATAGGAGAAAAGTGCATATCTGATTACGTTCAATCATACCTTCAATTTTCTTTACCTAAATGTCCCCAAGAAGGAATTATAAAGATTTTTAAATGGTTAACTAGTGAAGAAATGTTGTCCAATATATCGTTAAATATTGGTACAAAAGATTTAACTTTGTGTGCAGAAAATTGTCCATCGCAAAAAGTTTTGAGAGACGTGTTCGTAGCTGTAATTGGGGCGTTAAGTAAATCAGCAGATGATAGAAAAGTTTATAATTTCGTTAGAGATTTTATATGCACGCAACTAAATCAAAAAGACTTAAGTGAAATAATGAATTTCGATAACGCTTTTGAGGAACTAAAGACCGTTTGCAAAAAAAGGGAAATTGGAGAGCCTACGCCAAGATTATTGGCTCAAAATGCTGCAAAAACGGTGCTAGCCACAAATTATGTCGGCGTTTATGGAAATCAAAAGTTATTAGGAAAAGGTATAATACATTAATATATTATTTTTCTAAAATATCTAATTTGAAATATTTTTGCTAGGATTTGGAGAATCAATTAATATTGCCATCGAGGCAGCTTCTATTGATGCTCTCTGCAAAATATATGGCATACAGTATAACCGAAAAACATTCAGTTTTGATCTGCAATCATAACATTGGTCAGACCTCACAAAAAACAAAAAATTTTTGATTAAAATTTGAATAAGCATATTATCTAGTTTTTTTTTAAATTTAACAATAAAATATTTAAATATCAAAAGTTATTTAAAGAATCCATTATTAAGTTGCCATCATTATCTTTTAATCTTATTCTACCGTTTGAATATCTAGTTTCTTGGCTTCCATCGGGATAAACAATTTTGACGGTTCCATCGGGATATTCTCTCCTTTTATGAATTTTAGTATGAATTTCTTTTTGCCCGTTGGGGAAAGACAAAATTTTATCACCATTTCTAAAAAGAACACTACTCGTCCCATCAGCATATCTCCACTCTTCTAGTTTATTTGAATCGGAAGAATTTGATATTCGTATAGAACCATTAGGAAAATGCACCTCAATTGTACCATTCTTATGACGATGCTCTGTCTGTCCATTAGGAAATTCCAATATTTCTAAACCATCCAGATAAGTAGTATGCCATGTATTTTTGTCTGCGTAATAATAGCGAACTGTTCCTTCAGATATGTTGGTTTCTTTAATATCTTTGTTAAAATAAAGCATTTTAATATTCATGCCGTCAGATGAAATCTTTTTTAAATTTCCATTAGGGTACCAAATATCCTTACTACCATCAGAATGTTCAATTTCTCTTTTAAATTTATTGTTGTCAAAATCATTTTCATTTCTGTTCTCAACTATTTTTGAGCTCATAGGGAAATTATCATTGATAAATCTTATGGTTTTTTTGGCAGTTAAAATATTTTCTTCATCAATTAAACTTGAGCAAGAATTGTTTTTTTCATCACAGTTTTTACCTAAATTTTCGTTATTTTTTTCAAAAGATTGAATTTCAGGCGTGCTTAATTTCTGAGCATAATTCATATACGGAGGTTTTTGTTTTTGTGATGAGATTTCATTGTAAACGGGCTTAGAGTGCTTATTAACATTTGTAGTTTCAACAGGACACTGCAATCAAAGAAAAGGTAAGACCAAAAAATTGAATTTTAAACTGTAAAAGAATTTGAAGTACATGTGTATGTACTTTGAAATTTACCTCTATAGGTTTAACTGCTAATTTAGCTATAGTCTTGTTAATTTCTTGAAGTATTTTATTGTTATTTTGTCTAATCATCCTCGCATTTTCACTTTCCAATTTTTTATTTTCTTTCTTTAAATTTTCTATTTCTAAAGTTAAAAGTTTCACTTCTTTTTCAAAATTTCTAATCTGAGCGCGCAATCTGCCTTGGGCTGCAACGTGAATAGAATCTTTATTTCTTAATTCCTTTTGTAGATTTTCTACTTCCTCCCTTAACTTTAAAATTTCATTTCTTTCTTTTTTATTTGGAATTTTCTGTTCTCGCATACATTTTTCTAATTTTCTTCTTTCTTCTTCAATATTCAGTCTTTCATCATGCAAGTGAATTTCATATTTTATTTTTTCGTCATTAAATTTTTCTTGCATTTCAAGACGTTCTTGTTCTAATTGAATTCTATTTAATTCGTGTTCTTGTTTGAGTTTTAATAATTCGGAATTATTTTTTCGAAAAGTAGATATTTCAATTTCTAGTTCAAACAAACGTTTCTTAAGCAATTCTGTTTTTGCTATTATGTCTTTACGATTCTCTTCTATATTATTTTTTAAAGGAACTTCTAAAAAATGACCAATTAATGTTGTGTCATCAGATGTGTTTTCGTTGATTGAAAGTGTTGTGTCAAACAAATTTTTTTTAAATTTCTCAAACTCAGAGTAATCTTCAGATTTATTGTAAAAATCGGTATTCGTCATCTTTTCATTACAAAAAGGAATTTCTCTGCTTATTTCTATGTCGTTCTTTGCTTGATTTACTTTTACATTCTCGGAAAAGCGAACATGGCATTTATCAGACTGATTTCCTTGCATGTCACTTTTTATATTCAAGTCTAAAAATATTAAAAATCAAAAACGAAAAAGCTTTGCTGCTAATAAATAAATTGTATCTACTTACTAGAATGTTCATCATCAGTGGAACTATCGTTTTCACTGAAATCTGAAGTTCTACTTTCACTGCCAGCCTCAACAAACTCTGTCAGAAATTGATCGTCATTATCAGAAGGAAACGGATAGTTCGTAGATTTTTCATCCTTTCTTATTTGTTTTATTTCACTAGAGTCTTTGAAACTTTCAAACAAAGCAATAGCTTTTTCCTGTAACCAATTTTCCATTGAACTGTTATTCAGATTGAAATTTCTTTTGTTTGTTGTTTTATTAATTACTCTTAAAATATTTGTGTCTTCCGTATCATCAAATTTTCTTTCTAACATACGTAGAGATGAATCAGGAAAATTTTCCTTTGAAAATGAGTTTGCTTGATAAGAATTAATGACTTTTGCCCAAGTGAGTGGAAACTCTTCACTCTCACATTTTATTTTTTTTATCTTCGTATTTTCTCCCATATTTATATTTTCTGTTGCATTAGAAAGGTCAACATATTTAAATTCTTGACCTGCGGAAAAACTTTCACAAATTGAATCTGCTTCATCACTGTAATCATTTTTTTCATTTAAACTTTGTTTTAAATTCAATTTATTTGGATTCTTATCCCTATTGAAGTTTTTTTTGTTAACTTCATGCTTTGCTTGGTTTTGAGAAATTACATTCAACTTTAAATTGTTTTTATGTGCTTTAGAAAATTTGTATTTTGGTAAATTGTGAAGACGTAACGAATCAGGATCAATTTTAAACCTACTTTTCAGGCCTTCTCCTCTTTTTAGATAACGCCTTTTTGGGGGTTCATCTAAGTAATTGCAGTTTTCTCTGACCTTATAGTTAGAAGGAATCTCATTTTCATTTTGATACAATTCAGTCACATGTTGATGATCGTCTTCTATATTTCTTTGCTGTTCTTTTTGCCATTGATGTAATTCTTCTAAACGTTTTTTAATATTTTGCGAGCCTTTTAACATTTTTCGCCTGTTACATTCAACCATTTTCTGTTTAAATAATTTTGTTTATATTTTTGACAGCACGACCATGTACACGCTTTCAAATTTATTACTAACGAAAAAAAGTAAGTTTGTTCCATAGCCTGTTTTCGTTGCTTCATTTCCAAGTCCATTTGATCACATTTGCCGCTGTCAAACAAATTATTTTATAGGAATCAAGTAGTTCACAGTGTTGGAGAATTATCGATATATTAAAAAATTAATATTTTCGATATATCGTCGCCAAACTATCGCTAGTTTTGTAAAATTTTTTTGCTGTATGATTGACTGTCACGTTCCAGAATAATAGATTCGCATGCAATTAGTCGATGGTCGATAAATTGAATGGAAGACTTACCAAAAATATTACCATATTACACAATCAATCAATCCAAAAATATAACACAAATATTACTACTCACTACTTGAAGATTACTAAAATATTACATCAATTTCATAGGAATGGTTGAAAACACCTCATTTAAGCAAGAAATATTGAGAAATATAAAATCTTTCAAGATTCCAAAACCCACGACCTCTTTCAAAAATAAAGTTTTCCTTGATCACTTTTCTATTCTCTCATCTTTTGTTTTTTTCTTCTCATTAAAATTAAAAAAAGGAATTATTGTTGCAATTGGTTCTAACTTATGTGGAGATTGGATTTGAATAAAACAGAGATAAAGAAAAAAAATTGCAAATGGAACATGTGATATCATGAGATCATAGATATACATTCACATATGATATACATTGTTTTCTCCTTCACAACAGAATTAGTAATAATAATAGGTCTGTCTGAGATAAAACTTGCAAAAACTTTAAAAAGAGAAACAATGACGAAATTTCTCTCAAACCTGACAGAAAATATGAAAAAACTTTAAAAATAGGTGATAACCGTCAAATTTTAAGTATTTATCAAATATAAACAAATATTTTTTGGTTATACCAAAAAACGAAAATTTAGATTTTCGATTATAAAAGTGTGAAACTTAGAAAAAACCATAATTTTATTTTATTTTTAATTAAAAAGTTTTGAAAAAAAAAGTTATTGTTCATGAAAAGTTTTTTTTTTTTCAAAAATAAAACCTTCTGGCATAACCAAGAAAAACATATGTTTCGACAGATGTAAAATTTGAAAAATTAAAAAAAATTTTTTCAAATTTTACTTTACAAAATTTGAAAAAACTTTAAACATTGAGAAAATGAGAATGTCATCATTTTCTCTCGTTTTTCTTCAAAAAGTATTATCCGAGATAGTTTGCATGCAAAAACTTTATAAACTTTTTAAAAGTTTTTAAAAACTTTCTTATCCCAGAGAGACCTAATATATTTCATATTTTCTATCTAATCTATCTCAAAAATTTTAATTTAAAATAAAAATTATAAAAAAATTATAATAACTTAAGATAAGAAAAGTAAAAGAAATTGGAATAAATAAATTAAAAAAAATAGAAATGATGAAAAAATTATATTTTAATTAAACGTTTTAATGGAACTTCTCACGATTTTTGGCCTTTCACCTCTACAGGGATTCAAAATTCCTATAAAATGAGAAATTTTTCACGATTTGGCAGCACTAAATGGAAGTGACAAACAAAAGTCGAACTACTTCTTAAATAATTATACTTTTATAAGAACTCCAAATTGACAATCAAAATATACTACATACATCTTTCTTTGACAGAAACTAATATTTGCACCTCCCATTTTTTAAATAGTACCAACATCTACATTCGTATGTACATAGATGCTAATTTATTACTTCATATATTCATATGTACATATGTATATATGTATAAAGTAAATATTTCCAGTATGTGATTCTACTTGCCTTAAACGTATTACGTTATTTCTAGTTGAAAATTGGAAAATTGAATGAAAATTTTGGAAGGCATTTTTTAAAAAAAATCAAGATATTTTTAAATAGGGTTTGTAATTTGTGGGAAATTGTTAATTTTTACCCAGCGCTATGAAAAGTGAAGACTTATCTTCAAAATAAAGGTTTTTTGATCATATTTTTTGTCCAAATCTTCAAAATAAGATTTTATCATTTTTAAACTTTACACACAAAAATTTAACATCTTCAAAGGTTTATCATTCAATATTATTCAGCTCATTAAGGTTTTTTTATGTATACACAGTCTCAGTACGATGTAGCAATATATGTATATACCCCGTTTACATGGTTACCTGAAGCCTATTTTATGTCTATATAAATGTTACTGGACTTGAAGCCAACTTCACTCAATTTAAAAAAATTTTTGCTTACTTAACTTGAAATGTTAATAATGATTTGCATTTCAATAATTAAACGTTGTTTCCAGCCTTTTAAGTTGACATAGTAGAAAAACAGCTGGAGTTTTGAGCTGATTTCAAGTCAAGTACTTAAGCTGCAATAAAACAATTATTGCAGCTTAAGTACTTGAATAAAGAAATGTGTTTATGTAGAAATAAAGCAATTTATAAGGAAAAAAATGCGTATGCATACTAATTCATACTTTATGAAGTATTACCACGTGTGCATCTGTATTTATACGAAATATTTATTTTAAATTTTTAAAGAAAGGACATATCTATATTATAATTATTTTTTATATTTCAATACTAAATTTATTTATAAATCGCTTCGCTTTTACATATACATATACACATACATATACATAATTTTTAGCTACCTTCAACTGGAATGATAAGTTGACAATTTACTACCTTGTACTGGAATGAATTATAGAAACGACTTATTGTGCGCCTTTAAAATGCTTAAAATTTTTCCCTGTACTTTATATACGAAAATAATGTTTTTGTGCGCCTTTAAAAATACATTATAAAAAAACAGTTAGACATCTAATGCGTACTCTTTCCCCTCCCAAAAATTTCTACGTGTATAAAAATTAAAATAAGAAGGTATACTGCTTAACTCTTTCAGTTAAGGGAATTTTTTGTATACAAATATTGGTGAATGATTGCATTAGTGTCACGTAAACGGAGAGTCGAATTACTTATGAAATAGATACACCTTGTTTAATATCTATCAAGGTATTTCCAAACTAAATCATAGTTTAAAACATTTACAGTATTGATTACAAATTTTTGCTTTGTGGTCAACCAATATTTTAGTATTGCTTTCATTTTGATGTGATTTTGAATATAATTTATGGCTTTGCTATCTGCAGATGTCATATGTAGTAGAAAAACTAATGAAAATATCTTCCATATTTTTTTTCAAATGTTTATGTCTATCGTACAATTTTTCTCGAATATTTTTAAATTATAGTTGTGTCTCTTTTTGCTGCAAATGGTCAGATTCGTTACCGGAATAGAAAAAATTTCACAATTGTTTCAACATTTTCATTCATTATTTTTAACTTAAAAACCAAATGTCCATGATATTTTATACATATAAATTATAATGAATAGGTATTCAAAATTATTTCCGATCATAAAAAATTATAAAAAGCCAACTGATGAGAAAATGAAATCAGAATTCGTTTGAAGTTGCAGTGGCATCAATTTTTTTTTGAAGCTCGAAGGTTTTGATTGCTGTTCCAAAAAATGATTTTGTTTATAATTTTACTTGGTTATATGTATTTAACATTACCGGTTGAACGTTTTCAGCCGTTTTTCTTTTATTTCGCGTACGAGTATTTCTATACGCGTCTGGAAATTTTGGGACCTCTAAAGAATATTTTTCCCTCGAACTAAGATTGTTTCGGTATAATTTCGTCTATTGTAGCTTTTTTCTCTATGAGTACTGATGTAGCGAATTTTTAAATTTTTTTTTTTTACCTAAACTAACATTTTAACTAAACTTATACTATTTTCCTGGTTTGCTTTGTGTTTTTATAACGTAATAACTAAACATTGTTTAAATATTCTATGGTTATCTTAAATTTTTTTTGGAATCATTTGGAAATTATTTTACAGTTGAATTTAGAATGATATTTTTATTATTGAATACAATAATATTTCATTACTATAATTTTCTAGTTTTGTACTATTGTTTACTTCTCCCCCTACAATTCAAAACTTTCCAGTAAACTCCTTCTGTGTGCTTTTGAATTTAAAAAAAATGGGATGTGGAATAAAAGGTAAATTTTGCAAATTGCAGTAACTATGTTGAAAAATATAAAACAAGCGATTGGTTGATAGATATGAAATCTGATTCTCATTCCCTCTGTCACATTTCGATTGTTTATATTTTTTGTTTTTCTAATCTAATGCTAATTCTTATAGCTGCAAAGAATTTGGCATCTACATATATATGAATGTGTGCATTTCGAATAAAACAAAGCCACTGTATAGCAATTAAGTGCCTTCCAATGAAATACCCACTTTCATTCTCTCTTGCATTTCAACTATTTCCATACTTCCATTATCGAATTCTTAATTCCGTTTGAGTGAAATTTAATAAAATTCACTCAAAATTTATGAATTTATTTTCAATTTGGAATTTCTGATTAACTATGAAAAAAATTTGAATAAAATAAAGTGTAAGAATAAAACAACAACAAAAATGAAAACCACATTACTTTATTCTATACAAATATGAAAAGAATTCAGTAACAGTAAAGTGGTATTTGTTAGTTTATGTACATATGTACAGTAGATATGTAGATATTGTGGGCAAGTATAAAAATTTAAAAAGAATATTCCACAATTCCATTCCACATATTATGTATACTTGTGTTTTTTTGTTTTAAATTTGATTACGTTGTTCAGTTTCTATTAAGTTCTCAAAAAGGTTGTAACAATGCTGGAGTCCTTAGTGAATTCACTGAAATAATGAAAAACATTGAAAATTAATAACTAAATAAATTAAAAAAAAAATTCTAATTGAAATATTATAACAACAAAAAAAAAACATAAAATCATTTCAATCAATTATAGATAAGTTAAAGGAAACTCCAGCAAAGTGCAAATCCATAATTCGCGATCGGTTATTTAACATTTGAAATTTCCAATTAGAAAAAAGGATTAAGATGTTATAACTTGGTTATCAGATATAATATGAAAAATATGTTTTTTATTGACAAAATACAATTCGATTCACAGAAATA